TTTACTTTTAAAAACCTGAGGTAGAGTAGAATTGTTTAGCCTCAAAATATTCTCAATCTCTCTTCTTTTTTCTTTTTTTTTGGGGGGGGGGGGGTACTGTTCATCATCATCTTATACAAATAATACAATGATCCAGAATTGATCTCTAATTATATAACTGTACATTCAGAGCCTTGAACCTTATTGCATTAACTTCTGTCTACTAATTCTTCTCAATCCTTCTCATAAGTTAACAAATCTTACAAAATAATCTGGTTATACAATTCCTTTTTTGATTGTGTTGACCTTACTCTTTAGAATATTTTAGAACCTGTTTTGCCACTAAATCTCCTTTGTTTGGTTCTAATTGTGGTTTAATTTTTTAAAATCATATTGTCAGTCTTCCAGAAATGGTGACAACTATTTACAAGTTTACATCAAATTGATTGTTTTCATAGGTCCTTGACCAAATGAATAAGACGTTTCCCATGAGCAAATCTAACTGAGCTTATTACCTGCTACAATAACCTGATATTCTAAAGAAAATATGCATTCAATTTGACATGATTGTGTGTAGATTTGTTTACTGTGGGAATGCAGGATGTAAATAGGTAATTTTTGTTGTTTTTCCAGGGTAGGAATTTGACATGTTTTTTTCTCTTCTCATTTGAGTGAATTAATTTAAAGGAAGCAAAGTTATTGTCCTAATGGCGGACTAATGAATATTAATAAGCCAGAATGAATCAGAAGAGCTTGGGTATTTATTCTAGTTCATTGTGTCAGCTATGGACCAATGATGGCCTGGTGGTAGAGTCGCTGCCCGCAAGCAGTGGATTACAGGTTCAAATCCTGCTGGTTCCAAGATTTTTTCTGACTTTTTTTCAATCACAGATCGATCAATCGATCTCATTTACTGGGTGTAAGCCACAAATATGTTTAAACGAGTGCATATATATATACAATGTTCTTGAGTGTTATGATTCATAGAGAGCTCTGTTGATTGACTTTCAAGTGTCAATCTGTTAGGTCACTTCAATTTAAAAAAAAAATCCTCATTCTTACCATCCAACGGCCAATACTAATATACATTCAAAATTATATAACATCTGCTTAGTGCATTAATGGCATTAACTTTTAATCAAAATATAAGGGCTATTCTCCATTAGATTACATTAGGCCAATTTACACTTAAAAAAAACCATTGTTGATTTTTTTGGACTACCATTTACTCAACTGGAGAAACCCGTAAAAAAAATGGCAACGTTTGCTCGTTCTGATTTTTGGGTGAGTACTGCCATGCTCAACTTGTCACTACCCTGCATGCGATAGCACTGAAGCGAGGCGCTATGCAACTACCGATGAATTGAAACACTGCAATGTGAGAAAAATTGATGATTTTTTTTTTTTTTGGCTCGCAGTATAAATGCAGCTATTATTGCTGCTGCCCTGCCTGTGGCAGCTAGGCATGTCCTTGGTAGTCTTTTGTCTCAATGGTGGTGAAAAACTACACTTTTCGGATTTTCAGACACAAGAGAATTACATACGTTTGTTGTTGTTGGTACAATGCAGAGATACTTGAGTGGTTTAATGTCTACTGTAACTCAATGCCAGAAATGGATTTATGGCCGACTAGTTTAAAATGAGTGTCCCCCCCCCCTGAATTATTGTTTTATTCAAAGCAGATGTCTCAGTTTTCTTTACCATTTTTATATTTCCTTCTCATTCTCTTTCCCTTCTTCTTTTGTTATATTTTGACCTGACCTCCATATTTCCTCTTTCTTTTCTTTCACTTTGGCTAATTTGTGTCTTCTTTCTTCCCTGAAATAGCTCACAAATCCCAAATCTAAGCTGTTTTGTAAAGTTATTATTATTATTGAAAAACATATGTAGGCAACACATTGCTCCTCCCTCCCTCTCTCCCTCATTCCCTCCCTCCCTCCCTCTCTCCCTCCCTCCCTCCCTCCCTCCCTCCCTCCCTCCCTCTTAAAGGATTGGTTTAATCACAAGAAAAGTGAACACTATTCTGTTAATTGGCTCTAGAGCTCAAGCTTTGGAGTACAGCTATCACTTAATTACATTATAACATCTATATTAAATACTTTTTTTAAAAGATCATAAGTGCTTTCTACTTTATTCCAGACGTTGTGGATTCTTATGAGAAGTGCCTAAAAGTGATTAGAAAATTTGCAACAGATTCAATTTTGTGCACATGCTAGTTTAAAGAGGTCTTAAAAGTCCCCAGAAATGTCTCTGTTTTATTGGTCTTGTGTAAGTTAAACGTTTTATTTCAAGGCACTGAAAGGTCATCATACCACTGCCGATATCCAGAGCAATTGTGCTAAACATTTCTTATCTCTCTCTGCTAATATTGGAAGAGAAAAAGAAGCAAGATATGGATATATTGAAATAAAGGAGTTCAAAGTTTCTTGATAAGGGATAGATAAGAAACAATCTAGGCCAATTACTAAGCCACTAAAGTCACTAGTTTACACAATGTGTAGTTGTGTAACTTGTATACAAACTACAAAGTCTTCCATTTGAAGTCCTTTTGGAGTCTCTCCACGTGCCATTTTCTCATGGTTTGTAGCCATCATGGTAGTACCATGTTTGTATTAGGTACATGGTATAATACTATATGGTTCACATGCTGTTGTTGATGGCCTACATTAAAACAAATCAGAGTATTAAGTCCTTTTGCCGCTAGCACTTTATCAAATTAATGAATATCAGTGATCTTTATGAACTAGTGGAGTTTTAAGATTCAAATGCACTATAGATATTCATGCATATATTATATTTCATTTTATTTTATTCATTTATCCCAATTTTAAAAAAATATATTCTTCAATACAAACATAAAATGGCATATCTGAAGTAGGAGGATCATGAAGAGCACACAAATGGCCTGTTAAAAATGATATATTCATATAAAGTTCCTACACATTAAATGTAGCTCTTTTCTTGAAATCTATGGATTAAATTATATTTTACGAGAATCATAATTCCAGTTTATTTGGACTACAGTATAATTCTGATTAAAATACAGAAATGGCTGAAAACAAAATACTCGCCTCCTTACTTTTCATTGTCCGATTAAGGCCTGTATAATATATTTTTGATTGTGCTTTTCGTCTTGGAAACACTTTCACTGTTTTCATTTTATCTACATGTTTTATTGTTCTTGACTTGGTATATAAATGTTTCAGATTTCAATAACCGTGCAAGAAACAAACAAATACACAATACAAAATTTCAAAGTATTTCAATTTTAATTGGGCTATTGCTGTGGTCAACTGCCAATTTGAGTACATCCTCTTGCACTCGGTTGACGTTGACGTAATCTACAAACCTCCATTGTTGATACCTCATGCCAACTCGTACTGCACTTAATCCATGCAGGGGGGGGGGTCTAAGATTTGTGCGATATCCTGACCCGATACTTTTCTTTGGTATTGCATTTCGTTTGAAATTTTCTCCACTTAAAAATACTTCAATTTTTAAAGGCCATTTACTCATTCATAAATATAAGTCTTAACTGTTTTTACTTCCCTTTTTATTGAACCGGAGCTTGTTTTTCTTCCTGAAACTGATATTGGTAAGATGGTTACATAAACTACTAAGTTTGATTAAAAAGGACGTATTTTAATACAGAATAGAGCAATGTTAAGAAGAAATAAAAGATTCTTTAGAACTCTTGAAATTTATTCCATGATAAATCCATTTACCCGTAAGCTTTTTATACTTGTACTTTGTGTTCAAACTTAATTATGTTTCTCATTAATTTCTTCCACCATTGTCCTGGCTTTTGCTTTTACCCGTCAGTCTAATATGATATGGATACAAAATGCCGAGTAATGCCAATTTGAGGTCGGGTCGTATCAATATTTGATCTCAAATGTATTACATGTATTTGCAAACAGACCCTCTTTTGAGACTGATAACAACAAATACAAGATTTCAAAGTATGACAATGGGAAACAACGAGTTACAAAACCAAGGACATTTCCAACTTATAATGTCTATTTGTCTAAATTCAGATCATCTTCAAAATCTAGAGCGAAAATTACCAGTGTTCAAAGTTTTTTTCTTTGTGTCTTGAAATGAGCTATCATCTGAAGTCAAATAAGGGGAGTGGCATTAGTGCTCGAGTGGGAAAAATATCGGGGAGAGTGTTGGATTTGGGGCGACTTTATAGTCATACTAGCATAGAATACAAAGAATTTCCATGGTGGTATTTGTATTCCAAAGGGCAGACTGTTCTCGAGTCTGCCTCAAAAAGTTGGAAGAGATAACAATAGAATGTACTGTTATGAAATATGTTAGTCTGACTTTTGTCTGACTTTCTTAAATGTATGTTATCTTTTTTTAAAAGAGATGTATACTTAAATGATAACCGAACCATAAACAGTAATATGGCATCTATACATAACAATGTATTTTTGCTGTTATGGTTTGTTTGTATTTGTGTAATTGATTGTTTTCAGGGAGGGGGGGGGGGGTATTCTTCCATATAATTGTACATACCTTTGTCATGTGATGATCAACATTAGGTTATGTGCAAATATTTATCTTGTGATATTGAAATGGTTAACAATGGGATCATACCTTGTTGGTTGTTTTAACGGTAATGATAAATAATGGGAGACACATTCCACTGTCTCATATTTTGACCAATGTCACATTGAATTTAGATGTCCCTTCAGAATGTTGTTAACCCATTCAAAGAGTTTGAGCCCGAGTTCAATAATTCCGGGATAAATTTTTGGAAATACCATGCTTAATAAAGATTTAAATGTCTTGAAGATGTTCGAGTGTAGAAAAGATCATCCATGTCTCGAATCAAAATGAATCCCAGCCCAACATTCCAATGCCAGTTCCAGGGTATTTGGCACAAACCTCAGAAAGTACTGGGTATTACATATTGTATTCTAATTGCATTATATCATTGAATGAAGTAAAGTTGTTACATACAATTAACCAAGGTCTTTCTCTTTTGCTCTCTTTTCTCTTTTGTATCACAGAAATGGGCCTCCATTATTCTGCATGTATCTTTCTGCCAAGCAAGCCAGCCAGCCATAGTGTGTGAGAAAGCCAAAACGTCTATTATGCATGTTCAGCTAAAAAGCAAGAAAGCAAATCAGCAAAGTAGCAGCAAAATGCAACAGGATCCTTTTGCCGGGTGAAAAAAAAAATGACAAAAATATAAATATGTTAATAAGATTAAAATTATAATATATGAATAGCCTTTCTATGAATGCATGGTGCCCAAGTATGGTTAAGAATGATGCTTAAAAATGTTACAATTTCCAAATATGATGTTATATAAGACTTAATGAATGTATCATGTTTTTGCCTTATGAAATTTGTTTTTGTATTTGAGTGTTTCGTCATGTCCAGTCGATAATGTAGAGTAAAGCTGTTGCCAAAAGTTGGAATCAAAGTTGTAGACTGTAATTGTTCTCTCTCTCAATGAATGTGATTCACTTTTTATATGGCACAGTGACAAGCAGTTCCAGAACAATACCAATTGTATGCGATGTGATAATGGAGTGTGTTATACCTATAAAATGTGGGAACATTACAAAGTCCTTTCACATGATTGCAAATCAAAATATTAATTCTGTAGACGAGACAGTAAGATATAGAAAATATTTGTAGAGGATGGTATTTCATGTTTTTGACTGCATTATGTAATTGATAAGACACTATTTAAGATGCAGAAGAAAAAAATCAAAAGGCATGATGAAGTGAATAAGTATCCTGTCGGCCGAGAGCAAGACGACCATTAACTCTGCGTAATTGTGCATGAGGCAACGCCATCCGAGCTCTAAGCAGTTGTCCGGTTTGTTGTAAAGAAAATGAAATCAACCATCTAATAAATGATAAGAACTACATTAGATGGTTGATTTCACTTTCTTCACCGTTCAAGACTTTCAGTCCTCGCTTCTTAAAGCTCTGTGTATTCCAATCTAAATTCCAAGAGACTTTCCAAATAATTTTTGGTCATATACCATTCTTCAACACTTGTTCACAACAACAACAACACCCATTGAAAGAATTTCAAAAAGTTTCAATATTACATTTTGCAATTGATCATGTCTCGTAGAGCCTAAGCGTAGTTTTATAAAATTCATTGTTGGAATATTCAATTTTTCTCCACCTTTGATTCTGGTATACTTTGGTATCAGCCTCGCTCAACTGCCAGCAGGTCTTGGCATATGATCAGGACTTTGATGTTGTATATTTGTAATCCAGGGTTTCTCGTTCTGGTGATCATTACCATACATGCACAATGTAGTGATATTTGTTTTTCAATGTACTGGTGAATTGTTAATGATTTCAGTATTTTTCAGTATTCTTCATTTCTTACACAGTAAATTCAGTTCTTTACCTTCAGGTATGAAATACATGAAATGTTTATAGGGTGTATCAATATTTAGTTGACATTCACAGTATTCTGTTGTATGAAAAAGACAGCAAAAGTACATTGTAACATCAAAGAAAAGTAACTTCATTGAAGTATTGGTATAAGCAAAAACATTTTGCTACACATCACTTTGCTAATGTAATAATAACCTTGATATTGTAGTTGAATCCAATATAGGTAATTATCCTTTGATTTTTTTTTAAACATTAAGTATTTATAAAATTCCTTAACTATTAGCATTACATCAATGAGATATTTGTCATTTTTTATATGCATTTCAGATTGAAGAAAAAAATGTTTAATGAGTTAGCGATGTATTGTCTATTTAGCTCCAAACAGACAATATTGTCACATCCTTTTGGACTAAACGCTGCCTACCATCTAGGGTAGTTTGGAGTGCAAATATTGCAAATATTCCATCAAATTGACAAGATCCATACATAAAAATCAGGAAAATCTATACATAAAATGATGACATTTAAGTCCAGAGATGAATTATAAGTATTTTGTAATGCGGGATGATCTAGTTGGATTAATTATCAATTTATTATTAATTATACATTTTTCAAATAAATTATGATATCAGAGGGGGTAGGAATGAGTGTTTTGAGTACTAATACCAATGCATAGTCTCTGTACTAACTTACATCAGTGCTCTTTATAGCTATAGTTAGTGTGGAAATATCATTAGTACTTGAAGAAAATACGGAATTCAAACTGGATTTTTGATGATGCAAATCTGGCTTTTTATTTTAGAAACTCCATACCCAAGAAAATTTGACTTTGAGCAATATTTGCATAGTTCCAGCCCATTTGTGATTTATTGTAGAGAATTTGAAACGAGTGGAATTATGCCATAAAAACTTTCATTGTCTCGAGACCGCTTTAAGTTCACACACTTTAAGAAAGATTTCATTATTTTGTCTTTTACAAAAAGTCTGATTTTTAACCATGTGGAATTGCTCATTATTTTGGGTAGTTTGAGAGAAATGTCAGTATGCAATGATATTTATACCTTCTGTAAGTTCTGTAAAACTGAAACTATTATGTAACAGTAATTGTATATATCTAAAGCAATAACATATATATGCATGGTTATCAAGAAAGCATTATCCATTATAAAATACATTGTATATATTTCATACCAAACATTATATAATCATGCCTTTATTGAGAAAAAAATATTGTATTGCATCCACAAGTCATTGCACACATGCTGAATATTTGCATGTGTTCTTTACATGTGTTCTTGGACTGCACTAATGTTGGAAAATTCAATACATCGTCGCTGTTTTCACGAAGTGACGGTAGTGAAAAAAAATTGCATTCACTTTGCGTTACGAGTTTCCTCACTACCGTCACTTCGTGAAAACAAGGACGACATGGTCTTTGCATCATCATTTGTATTTAGATGAGAATTACCACATTATAATCCATTAAAATGGAAATAAATGTATTTGGCTATTTCAGGGTTTTTTCTACCAAAGTAATAATAGCATACTTTCTTTCTAAATGTGAGGGCAGGTCAAAATGTGATTTACAGTGTAAAAAAATGTATACGGTTCTTTCTCTTTATAACTTTCATTATCATTCCCTTGTTAAAGTTGTTAAGGAATTGCATTCCAAATTTTTCATTCCCTTTGATGATCTGATGTCAGATGATCCTAAGCAAACAATTCAAAACAAAGACTTATTTTGTTTGAAAGAAAAAATGAACCTCAATTATTACCCAGATTTTCAATCAATTGAAAAGTTGGTGAGCATGGTCTGCTAAATGTCTTGAACAAATCTATTCCAAACCATTCAAAAAACAGTATTCAGCGTGCCTAACCTCTAACGGTGTGTGTTATTTGAGTGTCTTCATTATAAATCAAACAGTAAATATACTACGGATACAAAGTAACAATTCATACTCTGACAAAACTGGTATACAGTAAGAATTCACTATGTCTTATTTGCAATTGAATATTCATAAGTTGGATAAGTATATATTACTGAGGAATTATACCTCTGTCTAAATAATATGATCGCAGAGACTTTGGGAAAATCATCCTCCAGCAATTCCAGTAGCCTTGTCGGTCTCCTATTGAAATGTACAATCAAAACAATGATGTATATTACATAATCTGAATATGGTTTCTATGGGATATACCATAAGGTATTGACATTAACCTTGAGTTGATTTCTCTAGTCTTTGTAATGGTGTTATATTCTGACCAAATAACTTTGATACGTTTTTACAATTTCCAACTTAAAAAAATACCTCAATGTGTTCTACAGGTAGTCACAATACTCTTGCAACATAATTGGAATCTTAACTATGGTGTGTGGATTTCAGTATTCAGACATGTACACAGAAATTGTCGATTTCAACTCTCAGCATTTTGCTTGTAAATTTCAAGTTCTTTCATCTTGTATTCATCATCATTCTCTCCTCTCAAAAATTCCATTCTTTTGTTATTCTTTTGTGTATCCATGAAAGGTAACTATATTTGTATGTAGATTATATTATATTAACATGGGGGGGGGGGTTCCTTGATTTTAAAGCTATGATTGTTTTGTAGAGAGGTTAAGTTGACATGACAAACAGTTTTAAAAGTCAGTTTCTGAAAAAGTTCTATTTTCTTCAAATCTGTTGATATATACAAGAAGCTTTCATATCGTCTGTTATGACCCATTAGGAGCGAGAGGGACTTTAATTTTTTGTTAAAAGCATGAGTTAATGCCCTCCTGGTTTCAAACAGTTGATATGTTCCATTTTAACTTTTTGTAATGGATACAAAAAAAGAAATTCTCAATCGTCTTGAAGGCATAATCCACTGTTCTGATGTCTTCCCAATGAACTTATCGCAGCTTTTTCCAGGTATTTTCTCCAGGTATTTTTTCCAGTGTTTTTTCATTCCATTTATATATCTTCCATTTTCAATACTCTGCCTACTTTATATATAGTCATTTCTCTTTCGTAAATTTTTTATATATAACATTCCTCTGTATATCACCTGTATATTAAAAACCCTTTTCAACTGATGTATTCTATTTCTATTCAACGGTGGAATCCTTGTATTCTATTTTTCATGAGGAATATTCACAAAAATGTGCAAATTGAAAATACTGCTGTGTATGACTATGTTGGGTGAATGTATAAAATCTTGTTTTTTAAATCTTTGATATTCTTTTCAATCATGTTTTCAATCACTTTTTTAAAGGAAGATTTCATCAGTTGGTGGCAATATTACAAATCTATATTTGAATAACATCAGCAACAACAAAAGCTTCCACTGTACTATATTTCACGTAAAAATCTCCTTTTGATCTAATTAAAGTGAAATTGTGGTACAAATGTTAGTGAAAGTTGTAAATTAGTTTAAAACAAAACAATATGCAAGGGGCGTTTTTGCCTGCAAATTATATTATACATTAACCTAAAACTTGCCAGGTTCTTTAGTTCTTTACACAAGTTTAATGTTGACCATTTTAAAATTTTGTTCATGATATGTTTCTGACATTATACTGTCTTTTGGCTTGTTTAATTCAATTTATTTCTAGCTTGGTTTCTTAGTTTAGTAATCCTGTAATGTTATGAAACAAAGTTATCATAAGAAAAATCACCAAAGAATACATGAAATGGTTTAATTGTAATAATTCTATCATTTGGTTCATGGATTGTTTAATTTGAAATGGTAGAGACCTTAATCAAGTTTTCAGAAATAGAATGTATGCTGTACACTGTAAAATATTTACAGCCTGAATTCTAAGAACTGAAAGGCTTTGAAAGGTTTTCAAATGATAATGATGCCAATTTTTTGTTGTAGTTGAAACATATTCCTACTTATATTTTTCTTTTCATTACTATATTTTTTTCAAAATGCATCTAAGAGTTTTTGTCATTGATTATGTTCTATTATGTGTAAAATTGCATATAGTCATTTCTTTATGTATGTAAAGGGACAAATTTTGTAAATAAAAATAAATAAAGCTTGTCAGATTGCAGTGATGTACACAATAAAAGGCTGTGGTGAGATTATAAAGTAAAATTGTCACTTTTTTGTTAATGTCTTCTCTTCGTGGCTGTGTTAGCTATTCTCTTCGTGGCTGTGTTAGCTATAAACAGTGGCTTGAATGAGTGAGATGAAGTTTAAATAATAATCTTTTGGAAATGTAGCTGAGGAGGATTAGAGGGAAGGAAAAAGAGGAAGAGAATGAAGATGGAAGGAAAGATTAAGAGGTAATAAAATGGGAAGAGTATAAGTTGTAAAACATGAAAATAACTGAGGGATCAACGGTTTTCGTTTTGTTTTTGTTTTTCATGCATGATTTTATACAGATAAAAAAAGAGATTGCAAATTTCACATGAATTTAGAGAACAAAATTAAGAGCTTAAGACAGAGAGGAAGGGGGTTAAAGAAAAGAGACGTGGAGACATTTTATAAAAAGAGATGAAAAATAGACGGGGAAAGAAGAAGAAAACAGCAAAGAGGAGATATGGAGACAGAGAGGAAATGATCGCTGGAGACTTAATAAAAGGAGAGATGAAAAGATTATACAGAGTGAGGGCGATAATAATGTGAAGACAGAAAAAGAATAATGGAAAAGAAGGAGAGAAAAAAGGAATATTAAGAATTTTCAATGGACAAGAAGGAAATTTCCCAAACTAGCCGAACTAAATATATTATACAGCAACTGGCAAGAGGTGGCGCTCTTTATGAATGATTTCAGACCAACATCTATTTCGTGCAAACTCAGAGAGAGGAACCCAAACACTCTTGATAAACGAAATGTTTAAATATCATTAAAGCAATTTCCCCATTTCTTTCACCAACGTACAAAACCCGTAATAATAACCTTCCTTAAACAAATCATTTTTGTTTTTTGAGCATTTTGATACAGATTGAGAGGAAGAAAAAAGAAGAAGAAGGAAGTAGATTTAAACTAGATGGAAAATTCCGTCAAGGTGTATACCATAACCTTTCATGCAGATTGCAAAGAGGGCGCTCCTCCTAAATCGTGAAGCTGCATCGTTGCCTCCGCAGATTTAGGACGGCAGATACCATTTCAGTATTGCTCATTGATTGTGACTATAGCCCTAAAAAAGCGGAGCTAGGGGTGACAGGGGCTTGAGCCTTAAGGTAGATGCCCCTAGCAACCCCTCCCCATATAAAAGAGAAAACTAAGAGAAAAGGAAAGGGAGGGGAAAAGAAACATTACAAGAAAATGATTCAACTGACTTCCGCACCTTTTTTTCCTGGTCATTTAGGCTACTTTGCTCATTAAGTGAACCCTTAGCTCTCTCCATTATCCTCATGCCCCTTCATGAGTTGCACATCCTTGATATGCCTCCGGGTGATTATATCGAAGAGAGTGAAGACGTCTCAGTGACACCACCAGTCCACCAAGGAGACACAGAATGAAAAATTACCGGTTTGGTAAATCCAATGGGAGTTTAATAATAAAAGTCATTCAAATCACTTTTTAAAGAGCAATTTACAGTGTTAAACAAGCTTAAAATAGACCTGCATTACAATGAACATCGATTAAGGTATTGGGGTTTCGGAACTAAATTAAGGAGAGTATAAATAGCGATGGGCATAACGGGTATAGTGCCTCAACCCTATCTTTTTTGTTATTTCACTGGAGCAAATATTGACATACTGCTGCCCATTGAAAGTTGGAATATTTTTCTTGCCTCTTTTCACGAAATGATTGTAACGATATGGTTTATATCCTTTCAAAACTGTATTGATAAATTTCTGCTACTCCTTAGATTGATCAATAAAGTTCTGAGATGATATAAACTTTATCTATCAAAAATATACTGCATTGTCAAAAGAGGTAAGAATTAAAAAAAAATCCCATTTTGGGGGCAACAGCGTACAAACATTCATTCGATTCTATGCAGAATGTCGTGTAAAATTTAAACAGAAAAATAAAACTTTGTGCTTTGTCAAAATTAAGACATGTTTTCCAAAAGTAAAACTCAATGAGAAAAAAAATGGTTGATTTTAAAATGGCAAATCGCTGCGACGCGGGAGTGTGATAATTTAGGGACGGGCCGCGGAGGTGCGGCCCGTAGGGGGGGGGGGGGCAGGTTTCTTAGTTATGAGTATCTAGCTCTCGGCAGGGAAATTACTTAAAATTGATTCCTTTTTCCTCGATACATGCACTTTCCTTGAAATTTGATAGTTTTTTCTTTTCACCCTGAAACTTCTTGCTGGAGAATAATAATAAGCACACATCGGTCGCTCAATAAAAGACGAGGGATAGGGAAGGGAAGCAAAGAGGGCAATCAATATTGAAAGAGAACCAAGATCAGGCTCTTAAACTAAAGGAATGGAAAAAAGGTAGATGAGTAGAGTTTAAAAGAAGATTGATCAGAAGTTTGAGAGGAAAATAAGGTTGAAAATGGAAGGGAGGGGGTGATGGGGGTAAAATGGAAGAACGTCCCTGGAGATAAACAACAGAAATGGGAGAGGAAGAAGTCTGCTCAAAAAGAAAAGCAACGATCGAGAAACTAGATGAAGACGAAGAACGGCAATAAATAGGGGAACCGTGTACTGGAGAAGCAGTGTCATTATACTTGCCGTACTTCTACTTCTACTTCTACGACGATACTCAGCAGGACCCATAAGTCAGGATGTAGTGCTGAGGAATAAACTATCTAGTTCTTACTTCCCCATTGCAGGAATTAAAAGAAAAACAAATTCAAACAGCAAAATTGTAATGTATTTGCTCTTCATATTCCGTCATAGTTAGTATGAACGTAAACAATGCAGGAAGCATGCATTGAGGACAAGTCCGTTGAATGAATGGATATAAGTTTTGGGAGAGTCCATTATTTGATGGTCCGTGTGAGAGCAACGTGAGGGGCATTCTACATTTTTGCAAAACATTTTGTACGCTTATACACCCAAAATATCTATCATGGAATCAATTACACAGTTTAGATTTCAATCACTAAATAGAGGTTACAATTGTGGTCTTTCGTTATTCGTTAACAAAAAATGGGTGCATTTAATAAAACACTCATACCTATAGATAATGAACCAAGTCTCATCGCGCCAATAAATCAAAGGCGCGGGCTTTGTGTATACATGTGTTGTGTATACATGACGCGACGTAGTATAGGTACCAAATACTACACACGAGAAGTACACATTCACATTCATATGATGTGTATTACGACGAGCAGCACGAAATCCTGGCAGAGAAGTACACATTGATCGCCAGAATATCCGTTCTATTTCTTCCAGGATTTTGATATTATATTGGAATTATACACAAGACAATTAAAGAATATTGTAAGTATTAAAATTACGCTATTTCTGTATTTGTATGCATGTTTTTGCGAGAAGAGAAGTTATATGTTAAGTGTTCAAAAACTCAAATGCATCTTCGCCGGTGCTGACGGGGCAGCGATCTACCGGCGTGGCGCTGTGTAGTATCCATTCGTGTGAAAGTGAAACCATTCATAATTTGCTTTGTTTAGACACCGCCCAATCTAGTGTGATCACCACGTGTACAGTAAAGAGCCCATGGAAAATGCCGCTCTATATTTGGACAATGAAAGTGTTTTGGCCTTTTTGTTCAAAGGTCTTTACTTTACTAAAAAGATGCTAGATTTCTTTTCTATACACAGGATGCGATGTGATTAATATCGGTGGGATAAAAAAACTACTTCACACTCAATGAAGATGAGGCATAATGAGTCATGCTAATGCTGGAAATTAAGTGTATGTACTCAAGATATTGTTCTACTTCTAGTGACTATTCTAGATCATAGAATGAGAGATGTTTCTAGTCTCTAGATGATCATTCATCTGGATTCTGGATCATACACGTGTAATTTTGATCAGTCATCATGGTCATTCAAACGTCTTCATTGGCCAGGTTCTGAAAATGTCCATTAACGTAGGTCTTCAACCCCAATCATGAGTCATGATGATGCAATGGGTAGGGGAATAGCCTAGTAAATAATCGCCAAGTAGGCTACAATAGTACAGACTACAGTACAAGAGATTATCTGAGAGTTGAAAAGGTTGGGGGGGGGGAGGGGCAATTCCTTTTTAAAAACCCAGTCAGAAGTTTTAAAAAAATGAAATAGGCGTACCGGTAGATAAATTATATATACATCATTATCTGTGGACAGCTTATGTCAGCCATAGATTACAATACTATCAAGATATGCTATTTTAAGATGTAGTGTCTGTCAGAGGAGTAACAGCTTTCTGAAAACTCAAAAATCTGAAGCTTTGAAAATCAGAAGTTATCGACTAACTAACTTGACTTGACATGAAAATTGACTCAATGACATCATCTTATGTGGAGTACACATATTCACAATGACTTTGCATAAGTTAAGCACAGCTCATCGTCTCAGCTAAAAGGTGAGCCATTTGGGTCCACATGTTATGCCCTCACAAATACTAGAGCAAATTTGACCTCGAATTGGTGTTTTTAAAACAAATAAACCGTTCTTGTACAACGCTCATCACATATGTCCTAGATGTGCTTCCAGAAATCATAACTTTGGATATTATTACCCTGGCTTGAGGTGTAATAATAATAGGTACAAAGGTTTCGTTTAAATGCCACATCATGATTATCATTTAATACATAATAGTACAGGTCAAATCAAACAAACAAGATCCAACGGCCTACATACATGAATCATATGAATACCGGTGTTGTAAATGTACAACTGTACATGTATTATGTATTTCATTGTACATTTTTTGCCTGATTTTTGCTGATAACTTTCTTGCTCAGTTCTGTTAATGAGAGGCTATAATCTAAGCTAATTTAATGGTTTTATAAGATCTCCACCTTATTCCTTATAATTCAAAAAGATGAGAGATTGTTGTGATTACAGTATGGCTTGTTGGGAATACAGTATGTGTTGAACAAAAAAGCAAAGCAAAACAAAACAAACAGACCATTTATTACGAGGATACCAAATACATACATACATGTATATTTGTTTATACATGTTCTTACTTATTCTTTGTTGCCGTTATGAGTTTATGTTCATGATGTTGTTATTATTAATATTTTTGGGGGATGTGAACTAAATTTTGTTCCCTATTTTGATTAACAGGGCCTCATGGAAGACCACCATTATTGGTGATAATGAGTCACCCTGTCTAAATATCAGAAAGAAATAATAAATTATATCACACGTGGCTGAGTGATGCATCATCAATGTGACCCATCACCTGGGATACATACACAACTGGAATTATCTCCAAAATGTCCCCCAAACCGTCTGAATTTGATTATGATGAGGCAGCGAAGGCATGCTCCACCACCGTGGCACTGTGTGAGCCACGAATTAGTCATCTAATGGGTAGAGTAATGGAGATGAAGCCATGCGAGTCGAGTAGGGTCATGACATCTTTTGTTGACTGGCTCGTGGGTGGCAACTGGCAGACCCCACCAAATTCAAGTTCATTGTGTTACACCAGGGGGGTGTTTCACAACTAAGTTAGACTTAACAATTATTGAAAGCCGTTAGCATGATCTATGAAAATATTTTGTAAAAGTTATATAAAATCTTGCTTCAAATCGTTCATATTTTCTAATATCAAGGAGATTTCATGTTCTCGATGTGGAATTTATGAAAAATCTAAAATACTTGAATGTTTGCTCTTGAATATATTTTATTTTAAGGCTACAAATGGCTCTCCATAATGTTTAAGTCCAACTTAGAGTTAGTTTGATTTAGGATCTTTGTGAAACACCCCTCAGTATTGGTGAAGCTGCTTTGTTTGAATTTCAGATAAGGATGATTGAGCATAAAAAACATAAAGACATGTAAGTTTACTTGGCCACCATCCATGTTTTACGTCATCATAAACAATGCCCGTATGTGCATGCCAAGCCATTATATAGACATGTTCATCAAAATGAACCCCCGAACCATTGACGTTATTCACCTTATCTTTTTTGTTATTTTCACTGGATCAATTATTGACAACAAAGTTCAAATTCCACGGTCAATACATGAACGTCATGAGCCTATCATATGAACGATTCTGTCAAATAACTTGTAGGGGCCTACATGTGTACATGTACATGTATGTATTTAGAAATATATTCTTTTTGTACTTCTATTGTAGGTCTATACAAGACGTACAGTATTCTAGAAAGTATAAATGAGATCACCCTGATCTTTACGTGTACTTATAGTCAATGGTTTTTCAGGGCCGGTTTGATAGCAGCTAAAACCTTTGTCAAAAGTAATTGTGTGGGAAACAAGAAAGCCTTACTGCTTATTCTTTGTGCATGTATTTGCACTTTGCTCCTCTATTTGTACTGTTCTGTATAGTATTGCTGGCATGGGTCAGTGTTTTTCTCCATTTATTAGCAGTGTTTTTTAGTACACAGGAGGCTTACACTTACGGTTTACATCTGCACATGCATTGAGGTGTTGTTGTTGATACCACTGTTCTGTAACCCTTGATGGATAAACCATGAAGTTGATAGGCTCGTGGTATAGGACAAGTCTCTTACCAGCCACAACCCCCTCCCTTTGTCTCTTTCGGTCTCTTTCTCTCACTCTCTCTCTCTCTCTCTCTCTCTCTCTCTATACATGTACAAATGTACATGTACATAGCGTACAACTTGAGTGCAGTATATTTCCAAGTGAAGCACTTTCCAATAAACACTTTCATCATCATCATTATTATTATCATTTTAATTTTTGTTATAGCTTCATTTTCATTATAAATCATTATTGTTATTGTTATTATTATTGCTATTATTGTTGCTTTTTAATAGTTTGTTTAGTTTTTACTTTTTGAAAATTTTTGGGGTACATGCAGTTGAAAGGGGGAGGAAAAGGGATTTCCCCAAACTTCTTGGTTTATTTTTAAATTTTAGCCTCCAAGGCCTCCATCCACCTTTATCATTCTGTAGATTAAATTGGTATTTGGTACCCAGGGAAAGTCTAGAATCATTGATTTCCCCTGTAGTCCCAGACATAGTGATTTATGTCCTGTCTGGGTAATGAGCCTCAAAATATTGATTATCCATGTTCATCATTTGACACAGGCTGGTGATGAGTGCTATGAAATTAAATAAGAAATTAGGCATTCATTGTTTCATCAATTACTGTCATGTGCGGAGATATGGAGAGCCCATTGGCAACCGTCCAAAAGTTATATTGTTTTTTTTGGCACTCAGTGAGGCTTGCAAGATGTTTCGTTATCTAATGAGCTGCAAAACAAAGTTTTTTTATTTAGCTGATTCTCTTAATCAAGGGCAGTCCTTTGTAGTTTGCTTTAGTCTATTAAAGGCACACTGTCCTTCTTGTAGCTACTTGCTCCCCATATATAGAAAACTTCCCCAATCGGTGCCTGTTGGTTCCCCATGATCCTCTTTTTCTTATTCTAAATGAGAGCTGAGTTAATGAGATAGCCACCTGTCACAGTGACCTAGCTGGCTCGCTTGTTTTTTTTATCCCTTCTATCTGAAGTAGTAAAGCCTGCCTTTAAAGCAAGTATTAGGCTTGTATGATATTTCATTCATTTAAACTTTTTATTATGATACTATGAGCTAGAAAACAAAGAATTACATACATTGTAGCTTGTGCTTTCAATTAATTGCAATTCTTTGTAGTTATTTAGTACACTACAGTGTATTTTTTGAAAGGTAAAGACCAGTTATGGTCATGCGATTGCATTGTGAAAGAAACGTTGTGGAATCAATCAGAAAAGGTTGATCATCTAGCATCTAGCATCTGCAAGGTTCTGGAATCATCAAAATGATAAGAAATTTGGCCCATTCTTCGTAAAGTTACAAGCACTATACACAGAAAGATGTATATGGGACTACCCTATATCTCTCACAGACCATGAGAGAAACAAATTTGCCAAATATATGAATTAGTAGGCGGTTTCCCGGAAAATTTTTTATCATCATGTATTAGTCAAAACATATTCTTTCACATGATACTGTAGGTAATGAGAGCTTCCATTTCATTTTTTGAAATTTGGGCGTTTCCAATACTGGTCTTTACAGTGTACCTTTAAGGGGATTTATCTCTGGAAAAATTTTGACAATATGAAAGCAATCGTGAGGCAACCTCATTTTTATTTTGTTTTGGGGGAATGGGATTATTGAAACATCCTATTTCTGGCAGTTATTAAAAGGTCTTTTCTCTTTTCAATTTGTGTTTTTATGTTTAAATTATTGTTAAACAGAGTCTGTGTATGGGCATTTTCAATATATTTATCTGGTAAGTGTACAGTGAACATGATAGATCAGCTGCATGTAATGGAGGCATACAAATAAACTTTCAAATGTGTACTTCATTATAAAACAAGATACAGACTAAGGTACATGTACAACTCCTAGAGACTGACTGGAACCTACCTCACAGTTATATCAGCTCAGGATTAGCCTTGAGTCTTAACAGATTAATTATCCCAATTAGGACGATTATGTGCTTTAACTTAATCCCTTCCAGATTCAACTCAATTAGGTAATTCCATTGAGCTTTGATCAGATTTGTTGTCATGCCCTGAACACCATACATTGTACATGTACACTTGATAAGTTTATGTTGTTGTTTCTGTAACTTTATTTTTTGCAACTTTATTTTTGCCTTGGTCTTTTGATTTCCACTAACAGTAATTAAAATGATTTCTTGCATACCTTCAACTTCAAGAATCATGACAAAACTATGAAGAAAAGAGATTTAAGAAGTCATTCTATTTTCTGAATTAATATATCAAAAGAACAAATACATGTATTAAAGTTATAATAGAAGCCTTAATGTGTAATGTACCTTTAGCAGTGATGTAAATATAAATAATATATGTACATGTACATGTATACAGTACATACATTTTTTGGCAAAGAAAATACATTACATCACTTACATGAACAAGGACAAAGGCAATACAAGAACATACGGAAATGAAACAAAACAAAACAAAACTAAAATAATTAATTGAACAATAACGTTGGCATGAAGCCTTCTGTCCTAGTATCACTGGTTGTAAACATAAACTACATTGTAAGTGGTATGTTCTTTGTTTTTGCACAAGAACCAGTATAGAAATTACAATTATGTTACATGCTGTTGTATACACACTGTACAGTGTACATGTATATTGTAAGATGATCAATTAAGATGTGGACTTGAGATTACTAAATTGTATTTGTTATTTCGTAGAGTTTAGACTTAAAAATAAAGTCTGCTAGTAATAACAATGTTGAGAAGCAAGCCTGTGGAGAAGGATACAGTGTCTAAAGGCATTGTTAAACAATGTTTCCAGTTTTATAAATCTGTGATATCAGCATCTGTGATATGTGTAATATTGAAGCCCTAAAACCGCGCTTCAAAATGATCACGAAGTTCCTCATAAAAGTAAAATCTTTGAGTGACCGATTTTACCATCCTCATTTTCCCCACAAGACTGTAGTGTTATAAAAAAAACTTTTGGAAAGCAGTTTTGGAAATTTTGAAATCCAATCATAAATATCTTGATAATCAGACAGGCGATCGGCATGTAAAAATCATGGGATTCCTGACTGACCTAAAGGTTTATAATAATGATTGCAGCATGAGCTAAATCCAGCATTTTGTTAAGAATATGAGGCAAAGATACCCAATCCCTTTAATAGCTTGTGCTTCTTGTTGAAAATTGTGGTAGGGTCTGTGATTAAAAGCCATCTTCTCCCCGAGCATTAACAATCAAAATTTCAATCAATTATTCTTCCTTCATAATATGCACCCAGTCGATATCCCTTCAATTACATTGAGGCTATAAATAACTGACAATAACTGACTATGGCACCAAGAAGACAATTATCTTTTGTGGACTTTACATAAATATCATTAGATATTGATAAGTCCTTGGGGACCATTTTGCTGCCTTTTGTTATGCCACACTTTTCGGATCATTGGAATTTTTAATGTGATGTAATGTGTAAATCAATAAAAATGGTTTGATATCCTTTCGTGTGACCAATTGTATGATTAAGCCATCATCTTCCTGTGAATGTTCAAAGTGTAGTCATGCATACATGTAAACAAGATATTACAGCTCTGCAAACATTTGCAGTATTTCCATTATATCCAGTTCAGATTTTTAATGTTGTACATTTGATAATAATGATACTGGATATTTTTATAATGCTCAAGGTGCTTCAATATTACCCTGGTACTGCTAGACTACCAATGTCTGTGCTGACACCGTTCAAGGATTTCTTTCCTACCAGTAACTATTTACAGTGTAACTCCTACACCATGGAGAGTGGCAAATGTAGATTAAAATGTATTGCCAAAGGCCACCAGTACTGCAACAGCATACCATCTGATGCTTAGTCAATTTATTATTGTATATCATAGGAAAATCTTCTAATAAATGTTTGATATTTATACATTTTATTTTGGCTACTGATGTCTAAGGGGCCATGGGAGCAGACCACAACACCTTTACAAACTTTTCTTTCAAAAATATATCCTACTACATATACAAGCTATAGAAAAACAAAATGATCAATATTTGTGTAACTTATTGTATATATACATGTATATGATCTCTAAAAAAAGTTCCCTCTTTTTGAGTACTCTTAAAAGCCCAGGCCCAAGGAAGATTTGCAGCTTAAATTGTAATCGTATAGACTATAGCAGGGCTTGATGTTAGCAGGCACCCATGACACCTGCACTGTAAGTCCCGACCCCCAAACTTTAAAAAAAGAATTACACAGGACTCATGCACACATCATAATTTAAAAAGTTAAATCCGAACCCTCTTTCAAAAAAAAATTGGTGTGGATCCCTGACTAGAGAATGAACATTTTTGTCAATCTGTGAAATTTAAATTACATAAATTTACGCAACTCCACAGCAAAGTGTAGTTTGGGCATTCAAGTTGTCTTCAGAATACAGTTTGTCAATTTTAAGTTTTTAACACTGATCCTCTCCTGAGTTTACACTAAGAATATGACAGACAAAGAAAGCGGACAAAATATACAGTTCCTCAGGTAGACAAAGGAACATCCCTTCACTGCTATTATGTAAAAAGGTGAATATGCATGTGACACCTGTTCTACACATTTTCACATAATAGCAGTGAAGGGATGTTCTTTTGTCTACCTGAGGAACTGTATATTTTGTCCGCTTTCTTTGTCAGACATGTTCATAGTGTTACTAGAGTTCACAAAGAAACAACAATGAAACTTCACACTTATGAAAGTTTGATACACTAATGATTATTTTGTCGGGAAGGTCCACCGCCTTCTCATGCTTACGATGTTTTATTAACTTGATGCGCTCAACTCCAAACACGTAGATAAATGGACCCCATGCTGGTGTATCATTTCAGGAACCAGGGCGCTCCGCATCTTTTTCACACTACCACTTATTATCCTACTCACCGATTTCCCACCTTGTCGCCTTATTAAGCTGCTCTAATTCATTATTCATAGACGCAGACAAAGAAGTGGTTAAGACGAAGCCTCGAGGCTACATGTAGGTCCTCTGGCTCAAGCAGACCCAGTATTTTGCCTTGGATCGGAGACAATGGTGAAAAATCAATCAAGTCTTTTTGCCGCTACCTGTCTATTTGAGTAGGAAGTAGTTATTTTTATAAAATGTTTATTTACTCAGTGTACCCTAAATAGAGTCTTAGAATGCTTTATTTATTATTTACATGTAAATGTTAAAAATAGAATGTACAGTATGTGAAAGCAAAGTTTATTGACTGTAGATGAAAATTGTTCAGTTCGTGACATACATTAAACAACTCAATATTATGATCTTTGCACTTTATTTTCTCAAAATTGTGATCTACATTAGTTGCAAATCATGAACCTCTGTATTAAACTTGGGGAATAATTTGTTTTTGGTAATATTATTCATGATTTACATTTTACAACTAGATCATGAATAACATTACCAAAAACAAATTATTCCCCAAGTTCAATAAAGAGGTTCATGATTTGCATTATCTGATTTTGGCCTCGGGCATCTTGCATATTAAAACATTCTGATTACCGGTAAAATGCAACTCAAAATATAAATGCTTTATACTACTGTACAGGTGATAAATATTGGGAGCAAGCAAAGTTGTACTGATCATATTTTTATATTTAAGATCTGATAATTTGATTTCCTTCATGTCAATGTTCTCTTTAAAGTTTATTTTGGATTTCCTGATAATTTCATTTCCTGATAATTTTAAAGGATAATGAAATGTGCTATTTGTTTATTTATTTATTATTTTATTTTCCAAAAATGTTGTTGATATACACTTATCCAGTACATGTACAGCAATACCGATGATAATTCTGATCATACTTAACACTGCTTCAAAGTTAAGACAGAACAGCCTTTTTAAAGACTTTGAGAGCTCAGATGTTTCATTTAATATTCTTATGTTTTATGCCCTATCAAAGAAGAACTCATCTGCTCGTTTCATAACATCATTATTTGTGAGATTGATTGTTACGTAACACTAGTACCCAATCAGGGTGTGTGGGATATTTGCCCAAGTAATTACTTTTCAAAGGTTACGTGTGAATGAATCGTTCTTGCCAGCGATCTCGGTCTAGATTGACATGCTTAATAAGTAGCACTATCCAAGAGGCCAGACAGGGACGTCATTAATTGAGTAAGGTTGGAGAAGGGACATACCGTAACATGTACAAATTAAGTGATTGTCAGAACTCGAGATGACTTTGTGCGGCATGGAGTGCTGTAACCATTTGATGTATCTGTTAGGAGCATGTGTGCGAGGAGTCAAACTCATTCACACCAGGCAGGTGCACATTGTTGAAATAATCTGAATTTTAATTGATGCTCTTTAGTTTAAGTCGAGGAACACACATTGGAGAGAGCAAATGCGTTCCACTACAGTTCATGTACTTGCAGAATTATTGTTTGACTTGATGTATTTTTGTAGGTATCAGTTGTCATCATTGTTGATTAGTTTGAAAACCAAGGGGGATTAATTTGTTCTTTTATTCTTTCTGTTTCAGGTTTCTTCTGAAGTGTGAGTGTTGAGAGAGGTCTCATCATGTCTCGTCCCGCTGGCGAGACGGACCTTTACGAGCCGCTGGGGCTGATGGAACCTCCAAGGATGGAGGCGGAAATGGACCGACGCGTCAGCAACACCAGCCTCTCTTCGGAGAGTGCCTACAGCAGCAATGGGAACGGACCTCCCATTCCCACGCACCACAATCGTAAGGATTCCGTCCGCTCGTACAAACTGCGCAGGAAACTGAAGCGCAGGAAACAGATGCAGAGGTTGGTGGGTAAGGACGGAGTGTGCAATGTGGTTCACACGCGAGTGGCGAGGTTACGCTTCATTGAGGACCTGTTCACAACCTTTGTGGATTTAAGATGGAGATGGAACCTGATGGTGTTCACCTTTGCGTATGTCGTCGGATGGTTCTTGTTTGGACTTGTATGGTTTGTCATCGCCGCGGCGCATGGTGACCTCAACGCCTCACAGCGCAACTTGACAGACTGGGAACCGTGTGTGTACAACATGGAAACATTCACCGGAGCGTTCCTCTTTTCATTGGAAACCCAGACAACAATCGGATATGGCTTCCGAAGTGTGACTGAAGAATGCCCACATGCAGTATTACTAGTTGTTGTACAGTCCGTCATCAGTTGCCTCATTGATGCCGTTTTTATTGGTTGTATCTTCGCTAAAATCGCTCGTCCAAAGAAACGAGCCGCCACGCTCAAGTTCAGTCGGAAAGCCGCCATTGCCCAAAGAGACGGTAAATTATGCTTCATGTTCAGGGTCGGAGACATTCGAAACAGCCATCTGTTTGAGGCTCACTTGCGAGTTTACATGATCAAACCCAAAGTCACCAAAGAGGGGGAGATTATACCACTGTGTCATCACAACATGGACCTGGGTTATGACACTGGGGAAGACCGTATATTCTTGGTCTGGCCCATCATAGTATCACATACAATAGACGAAGACAGTCCACTCTATGAGTACTCCTGCAACACGATAGACACCGCTGACTTTGAGATTGTGGTTATCCTCGAAGGAATCGTTGAGCAAACAGGGTTGACCACTCAGGCCCGTACCTCCTACATGCCTGGAGAGATACAGTGGGGCTCTCGCTTCTGCAGCTCTGTTCTGTGCCTACGCAGCGAGTTCGACAAGCAGTACGACATTGACTACTCCAAGTTTGAGGAAACATACACTGTGCCAGGCCACCCAAGGAAGAGTGCCAAAGAGCTGGACGAAATTGAGCAAAAGGAAGAGGAAACGACGGAGAGCCAGTTGGCTCAGCTGAAAGACCTCATCACCAATGTTATCGACGAGCAGAAGCTGCAGAGATGGAATCCTAGGATGACGGAAGAAGTCTTCGCCCGTCGCTTCAAGCAGTTCGCACGGGGGGACTGCAATGGCCGAAGCAGGAGCACTGAACATCTTACTCTGAAATGGAAACCTCCAGATGTTGGAAGACTTGTTTCTATCGAGTCTCAGGGTTCCCACGAGGGTTCACAGGAGATGCATCCTCTGCGGTCTTGTGATTCCCAGACCACGGAGGAACTGTCGATGACCAGTCATCCAAGCCCGCTACCAGAAGAAGCCCTCAAAGAGATGCCAGATGAAATCAAGAGGAAAGAGTCAAATGTATAGCAGTACTACTCACAAAATGGTAAGATCCCTGTACAATATTGCAGTGCAGAATATGTGTGTTCATAGAGATATATTTGTATATATAAACAAGTGTCAATAAACATTGTACAAGTTGCTTTCATGATGAGTATGAGGTAATTTTTGACTGTGCAAGAAAAAGGTATTCAATCAATGTATTAAAGAGAGCAATGAAGTGACTTCTGGTGTATTTGGGCTACCGTCAAGTCTATCGATCACAAAGCTTAGAACAGTTAACAAATAATCTAGCTTCTGTTGAAAGATTTATGCAAGTGCAAAGTTTTAAACCTAGTTTTCTAGTCCTAAATGTGTAATACATTTTGGAAAAAATGCTGTGTGATGTTGTATCTTCAGTTTGCTTAAACTGTCTTCCATGGGGAAAGAGACTTTTACCCAAGTTACCCGATGTTCAAATAGCTTGTTTTGAGGCAGCCATTTAAGAATCACACCAGACCGATAAGAAGGGATAATATCTCATTCTCGTAAACCTGTCTCACATTTCCATAAGATTTGTGTCCGCCATCCGAAAATACTCTTCATATCTGTGTCATGTGATCATGCCGTAAAAGTGAGCATAAACTAGAGGCAGTCTCGTTTACGGGACGCTATTTATGTCGTAATGAGGCTGCATGGCGAGCAAGCCATATCAAGAGAGATAGTTGCGGTAATTAGGAGTGACAGCTTTGGATCGCGATAGGGTGCTGGGAGGCTTAGGGCAAGGTGTGGACCAATGGCCATTGCCAATTTAAGGTTGAGGGATGACTTTCGAGTTGTATTCTGCTTCCAGGTTTATGAAGCTGTTCTCATTCTAAACACCATTCCATCATTTAAAGTGATTGGCTTGTCCCAGTTAGTCTGGTTTATTGTATTTGGTGTACAGCCATGTATATGTAGGAATAGGATTGACCCAGATAAGCAGATAGTATAGTCTAGTTCTGCTGACTCATACTTTTTCGCCCCCTTCCCCCTCCCCTTCTCCTTCCCCCTCCCCCTTCCCCTTCCCCCTCCCCCCTCCCCTTCTCCTTCCCCCTCCCCCTTCCCCTTCCCCCTCCCCCTCCCCCTCCCCCTCCCCCTCCCCCTCCCCCTCCCCCTTCCCCCTCTTTCCTTCTTCTCTATCTTTGGTTAACATTGATTTCATTATTCCATAAAAGCTAGGAAACAGTTGATTATTTTTTAAACCTTGAACATTTAATTGAATGTGAGTACTTCAATGTGAGAACATCAGAAAAATAGAGGGCCATTATTTACAGTTTTTTTGCAGTTTCTAACTCTTTGGAGTATGGCCTGTTAATTTTCCCTACATCATTTCTGTACATACATGTGTATGTACATGTACAATGTACCTTGCCATAAGAATACATTGAAGTTTGCTACATAAAACAATGAAAGTATTAAACTTAACAGTGTGATGAAGTCATCAGATGCACAGAAGTTTCATGGACAGACTACATGTATTTGTATGAATAGGACTAATGATTTTTTTTTCTTGATAAGGGAACAAACATTAACTTTACAGTCCATGCAATTATTTCTCAATCAATTCTTCAGATCATTGCCAGTGTTCTGAACATAAAGGTACTACAGTACATGTAATAATCTTTTCATGCATGCAACAAAACTAAACTGAAACATAATAATTTCAATAATGTAAAAACATGATCTGCTGTACTTGACAAATTATTGTCTGTAAATCACCCCTACTTTATACATGTACAGTACATGGGGACAGTACTTTATAGCAATAATACTGCACTGTTAATAGTCTTGCTTCTACCTGTACATGTCGGTTATGTGAGATGGACAAAATATGGTTTGAATTCAAATCAACTAAATGTTCTCCAATTGGTGCCTTGTGTAATCTGTATTGTGTATCATTCACCCTGTGTTTCTTTCTTTATTTTCTAAAAATTGTTGGTATTCATACTTACAGAAAATGTTGCTTTTTTGGTTATAATATTTCATCAGTTTTGTTTCATCAGGGTAATCTATTTAAATGCATGCCAATCAATTAGCTAACATATGTGGAGTGTGTAAAATCTGCACAGGAGCTGTGTTGGTCATTTGTATCAAAGTTTGAAATCCAAAATTCTTGATTAATTCTCATAATCGTTATTTATGCAGAACGCACCAACAGTGCAGTGCATACATCACAGATTGATAAATGTACATCTACATGTATGTGTATGTGTATACTTTAAAACAATTTATTTTTTAATAGAAAGCAAAAGCTATTCATGAAGCACCTCCATTACTTTGGGAGTGATTATTTTTAGTAAAAGGTTCAGAATGAGATTTTTCCATCTTGATTGCTATCGCTTCTTTGGGTCATTACTTGCTTGTGTATTTAGCCCTTAATGAATAATCTTAAATGTGAAAACTCATTTAACTGACATAACCATATTTTTGTGTAGATTATGATAATGTAGAAGATTATCAGAGAATTTTTTTAAAATATGTTTGAAGTTTTTAAATTATGACTACTTGTTAGCCTGTTACACATGTATGCATTATAATAACACCCTACTCTAATAAATCTTTATTTTAATAGTTCAGATGTTATTAATTAACATTTCCATGAATTCAAAAGTTGTGTAATCCATGTAGACAACACGTATGTCTTGAGCATCAGTGTTAACTGCTGTAAACAAGAACCAGCCCCCCCCCCCAAAAAAAAAGGCTGACTCAATATTTTTTTTCCTGTACGCATAACCAAACGAACAGCATTTGTTTTGATTACAGATTAACATTATTGATTGAATTCATCATTAAATCTATTGAAATTGAATTAATTCATTTGTGTTTTTCCATCAGTCTTTTGTCATTGTTTTTAAAGACACTCTATGAAGTTTTAAAGCAGTGTTCATTCATGCATGTTCGTTAATTCTGTTTTGTTACATTCTTATTTTTGCATGCTTTGTTTGATAAAAAAAATGTTTTCTGTAGGTAGTGTCAATGTTTTCAGACAACTTTGAAGAGTTGGATTTTGAAATCTTGAAAGTTGATGGCTTGATGCTCCAATTATTAAACATGAATTGATTAAATACACATACCCTGTAGTCCCTGTAGCTCATGCACATGTACATGTAAATTGTACTTGGTCAATCCAAAATCAAAACAAAAATGCAATGCATGCCATGGGCAAATAAGGGCAATACAACCAGTGTACTCAGGGTTTTGTATAATTCTCGCAGACCCGGTCAATTCCTGTGGGTTTGAGCTGAGATTAGTCAAATTTCTCTGTCTGGGAATATACATAAAACACTCTAAAAAGAATTCCTACTTTGCACTTGAGCATTGTTTTTCAAATTACTCAATTCTTTAAATGATATCTACATGTATGTATTTCCAGAAAAGAAATGTGAGAGTTATAGCTGGAAATTATTGATACTACCTATGTTAGTAGAAATACAATTTCTAGCTAAATATCATTTGCTTGTATATATTTACAAATTATGGTTATTTCCCATGAATGTCATGATTATTTTGTATAAAAAAATGAAGTTTTGATCAAAATAAATCTTTCTTTTGAACTGAACCTGAAATACATTTCTTCTCTTTAACTCATTTGTTGTTTTCTGTAATATTATTATCTTTTTTTTTTACAGACCTGTACAGTTAATCATCTTACATTCGTTGATTACATATACAAGACAAATACATTTCTCTAATATATTTTGCAAATATTTAAAGATAAAGCTCAGTTCTGGTCATGCGATTGCATTGTGAAAGAAAAGGTGTGGGATGGATCAGAAACAGTTGATCATGTAGGATGTAAGTATTGGTGTGTACTGCAAGGTTCTGGAGTCATCAAAATCACAATAAACTTGGTCCAGTCTTGGTAAAGTAACAAGCACTGTACACAGAAAGATGTATGGGACTACACAAATGGTGTCGAGGCTACTAACCTTGATTTCCTAATCTATCTATGCTCATTACTCAGCCAGTATACATTTTCTACCAAAATTGTTTGGCAAATGACATTTATTGTAATCTTGAACATTCAGTGTAAGTTATGTTGATTCTGTGAGAATTTTTTTTTTTTTTTACCAGAACTCCCCTTTATCTTTAATAGAATTTTAAAATAGAAGTATAGATAAAAGATAATCTGGTTTGAAATATAGCGGTGAATAGAGACATACTAAAGCTTTTCCTCAAGCACTCATCAGAGTAAATTGCAAGAATTAACAAAAAGCTGAAATGGGACAATATACTGTACATGTAAATGGAAGCTAATGGAACGCTTTGTTTCTTTAGGTTGCATTTTTAACTTGATTACTCACATAAGCTGGAATGATAAGTTTGAAGTCCAAGAGATTTTTGCAGAATAATCTTTGTTTTAAGACGGTGAACTGTACCCTTTGGCTATTTTGACTTTGACAGCCAGAAGTGCTTTAACTCCTATACTTTTATGCAGACTAAATGCCCTTCTGGGTCTCAATAAAAATCAATATGTTTTTTTTCAATGACCTTGCGTGTCATTGTCAGGGAATATCACATGGCATTGCCATTCTATTAAATCGCAAAGAATTGTAACATTTTCAAAAAGCGCTCATTTACAATTTCAAGCCTGGGAAATCAACCGTATGCCATCACCTGCAGGTAAACATCCTCTTACATAAAAGGGAGCCCTCAGAGACAAAAGAATCGGTCACTTTAGATCCGTACCATTCAAAAGTTTCTGTAATCTTCCTTTTAACACTTTCTTTTACCTTGTCGACTATTGATTGGGCATTGACTATTGGTTAAGATCTATTCATGTGTCTGAAGGTGATACACATGAGTGATGACATCTCTATTATGAATGAGGGAAGGGATTAGCCTAGGGTTCAGGTCAGTTTGCAGGCACAAACTGTTGTCAGTCGTATTATGGATCATTGTGTCTGAAGTTCTGAACTAAGACTATGCTGACTGCACAATGCACAGTGTATAGTACATGGTGCACTTTATAGGCTCTGTATTAACACACCATGTTGTTATTTTAGTTATAACAAGTATCATTCAGTAGTGAGTATTTCCTCCAAAATCTATTCACATAAAAAAAAACCTGTTCAACGCTCCATTATTTGACAAGGGTTTGTGCCTGCAACATATTAAAGGCATCATTTAACAATGTTAAATCTGAGATGCATGGCCCTACGTGTTATCAGGGTCTGTGATATGGTGTAGTATTGAGGCCCTAAAAAAATTGTGCTTCAAGATGATCATGAAGTGCCTCTAAAATTTAAAATCTTTGAGTGACCGGTTTTACAATACTCATTTTTCCCAATAGACTGTAATGTTATAAAAACCGTTAGGAAACCAAATTTTGAAATTTCTAATTTCAATCATAGATATCTTGATCAGACAGGCGATTGGCTTGTAAAAGTCATGGGATTCATGTATGACCTAAAGGTTTATAATTATGATTGCAACATGAGCTAAATCCAGGGTTTTTTTTTAGAATCTGAGGCAAAGTTACCCAATCCCTTTAAAAGCCTATAGGGGCTTGACGGGTTGATGGTCCCAATAATTTACAAGTACAAAGTTATAACATTGATATTGCAGCTAGCAGAGAGGGAAAAAAAAGATAATACAAAGCTGTTTTATTAGGCTATTGAATTGAAAATTAAATTAAAAACAGCTGATAAATGATAAATTTAAGCTTTGTTATGCCTCCGCCACCGAAGGTGGTGCCGGAGGCATCATGTTTTCGGGTTGTCCGTCCGTACGTCCGTCCGTCCGTACGTCCGTCCGTCCGTCCGTCCGTCCGTCCGTCCGTCCGTACGTCCGTCCCGTTTGACCGTTATCACAATATCTCAAGAACCATTTAAGATTTAAACTTAAGACTCGGGAATAGTATTTATCACCATAGGAAGACGATCTGATTAGATTTTGGAGTACGTAGGTCAAAGGTCACAGGTCACAGAGGTCAACTTATGAAATTCCTTGTATTGAGTTTGTTAGCACGATATCTCAAGAACCATTTGAGATTTAAACTTCAAACTTAAGGATAGTA